GCACAGGGATTTCTGGGATGCAAAGCAATGCATCACGGGGCACTGGGACAGGAACCAGGATGCCCTGTGACCTCTTCTGCCTTCCCACAATTCTTAGCAGCAGAAGAGGAAGAGCTGCTCTGTGGGATAGCTGCCCAGAGTGCACCACTCTGAATACCGCTGCAAGTGTGAACACGCTGTTGCACAGACAGCTGACAGTGTGAACACACAACAGCGGTTTCCCCTCAGCGGCACTGTAACAGCTGGCAATGTAACTCTGCCAGTGTAGACAGGAAAGGCAAGCGGCTTGGAGGGATGGGAAAACAAAGCCTTGTGGCAACATGTGAAGCCACTCCGGTCTCTATTCCCGCAGTTCAAAGTGACCAAAGGGTAGGCTTTAGGAAAGTGTTAACACTGTGAAGTGACCCAGCACCTAGCTTAGACAGAAGAATTGGAAAGGGGGAGCAAATTAATCCTAAGTAAAACTGGGGGACCTACAGGAACTGAGCCAGCTGGTGACGGGAAGAGCATTGGTTTTCTTGTAACTTTCTAAAGAGAAAGAACATTTTTGCCATTGATTTGAAGGAGGGGAGCTTGTAGGGCCTGATCCAGATCCCACTGAAGTCAATGGAAAGAGTCCCACTGATTTCAATTGTAGCTGCCCCAGCCCCTCAGTCTCTGACCCTAAAAGACTAACACATATACTTAACATTACGCTGTGAACAGTCTCATTGACTTCAGTGATTGCAAAACCTTGCTGAGGCAGGGACTATGTTGTCTATGTCTTGCACAGCACTGAATGCGCTGTTGGCATTAAAGGTATAACAACATTGTGCCAGAGCGAATCCTACCCTTAGCTTTTCTAGGACCTTTCTAGGACTCTTCTACATTCACCTTGGGTGACACAGGCAGACGGTGTAATGTTGCTATTTGTGAAGTAATGTCCTCACGGACAGCAAATGAAACAAGACTGGTGCAAAGGAGTGGACAGCAAGGACAAGCAGCATTGCGAACAGTGATGTATTAAAGGCTTAATATTCAGGAAGAATTCAAAAAGACATTTGGTTCCAAATTTTCAAACATGGCCTCTAAGGCCCTGATCCTGTAAATTATTGCAACAGATGGACTTCTGAGCCTTCACAGTGCCCCAATGACTTCATTGGGGTGGGGGGGCTCTCTACAGGCACACAGACCCATGTGGGGCACCTTTCAGGATCGGGGCCTAGTTCTGGATAACATCTTTAGACCTCTGCCATTCCCATTGACTTCCACTGGAGTTGTATGTGCTCTGTCCCATGATCCCTAAAGCTTAGCACCCAGACAGTGAGAGGCTCAAAATCAGAGGTGACTTTAAAAAATGTGAGCCTCCATCTTAGTTCCTGAACAGATGTAGCAGGTTATGCAGATGTTTTTTTTCTCTTGTATCTTCATCTATCCTTCCTATCTGCCTATGCTGCTTTGTATACCTCATAAAAACAAAAAACCTAAAGATATCTAAAGATGTCCAGTGGTTAGGGAATTGGAAGACTCAGGTTTAATTCCCTGCTCTGCAACAGACTTCCTGTGTGACTTCCTGGGCAAGTCACTTAGATCCAAATTTTTAAAGCTATTTAGGCATTGCTGCACTCAGCATTGTAATGTCTAACTGATTTAGGAGCCTATTTCTCATGAGATCCAGGCTCCTAAATCAGTTAGGTATTGCAATGCCGAGCACAGCAAACCCTAAATAATGTTAAAAATCTGGGCCTTAGTGTCTCTGTACCTCAGTTCCCATTATTTGTAAAGTGAGGATAACAGCATTTCCCCACCTCAAAGTGGTGTTGTGAAGATAAACAGATTAAAGATTGCAAGGGCCTCAGATACTATAGTTATGGGGGCCATATAAGTACCACAGATAGACAGATTTCTGACTATGGCATCTCATAATGTTCCTCTTTGCTTGTTAGGCAGCATGTCGGTGTAGTTGATTTTTCTTAAGATTGTCTTAAAGGTGAGAAACTTTGAAAACTAACTGGTGATTCTGGATGCCCAATTAGAGATACCTTAAAGGGGCCTGATTTTCAGAAAGTGCTGACCACCCAACACTATCCAAAAATCAGGACTTCTTATGGTCTCTCAAGTTGGGCACCCAAAAATTGAGGCACCCAAAATCACCAGTCACTTTGGAAAATATGGCTTAAAAGATATCCTTAAAAAGGAATCTGGGAGTTCACATAAATAAGAAGCAAAGTGAAAAGTGATTTTGAAAATTCCTTCTGTTATTAAAATTTCTATTAATAACAGAGATACGGGGTTACTCTTTGATTTTAATTAGAAAAGATGGGTTTGCAATTTATGGAGCACAAAAATAAAATGTTGAAGAAAGAAAATCTGTGGGTCTTTACCTACTACTTTAGTTCTTCAATATTAATTTGAAATTTTAGTTGAACATTTTCACAAAAATACTACTACATTAGTACCTTTTTCGATGGAGTGGAACTCAGATAAAGAATAGTCTAATGTATCCCCAAAAATACCTTTTGTTCCATGTGCATTATATTTGCAATTTACATGGGGATTTGGAACAGCAGCTCCATGGGTGTTACTTACTTTGGATGGACTCCTCTAAAGCTGAGTTTACACAGCTGTGGAAAGAAAACCTAGCAGGGATCAATTAAAAAGTGCAACACAAATCCTTAGCCAGGCATTCTCAGGCAGTCCTGCTGTTGAGACAGCCACTATACACAGAGAATGAGTGCTCTAACTATATTAAACTTAGTCCTAACCAAAATAAGCTTTTACTAATTTTCCCCATTTAGGGGACATAAAGAGCTGCCTTTGTCATTTAAAGTCTATGCTGACTAAGCCTCATAGAAACAGAACTTTAAGGAACCAAGGCAATTAAATCAATTTTGAGGGGTCAGAAGAGCCTTAGCATTTTAGACATGATGGACTTGTATGGTCTGTGCTTCTCATTCAGGTGAACTCCCAGATTATGGGCTGATAGGATGCATAATAAGTCAATGAGGCTTTCAAAGGTCACCTTTGTTTTTTGCTGATAGCAGAGTGAGGGTGACATTGTAGCAGGTCACAAATGTGCTGGATTTACCTGCACCTCTCATTACTGAACAACCCGAGTCACCAAGCAAATGAGACCCCAGACACACTGTCTCTGTGTGGGACATATTTATTACCAACCTGCAGAATTTTACACACAAAGAAGGCCCTGGGGAATGTAAAGCCTTGACAAACTGATGCAAGGAGAAGAGTATAAATAAGCAGACAGCTGAAGAGCCTAAAGTCTCACTAACTCACCAGCACATCAATAATACAATAATGTCATCAACTCACTGTAGACTCTGAACAATGCTTTTTCTGTTGTTCAGTTAATTAGTAAAAGAAGAGATTAAGGGGTTTAATCTCTCTCTCTCTCTCTCTACCTGGAGGGGGTGTCGAGACAGATAGATGGACAGATAGATAGACTATGCTCATATAAGAATTACTGAGGATGTTAGATTGGGCAGCTTTTGTCTCCAACCAGCACTGTGTTACTGTGAACACTAAAGGGTCATCTACACCACTGCAAGCTTGACTATACTAGTGATTGAAGGGAGGTAGGAGGATATGAATTTTAAACAGTTTCCTGAATGAATGCACCACTGTATTTTCCCCCTGTTCTCCTTATGATAACAATTCATGAAAGATAACCTTCTCCACTGAAAAGCCCTGAAGTTTTTACCATAGCAAATGCAAGAAAGAGAAGAAAAAGGAAAGTGAGGAGGGGAGGAATTAATTCAGTGTCAAACTTTTTTCCCTTTCCATACTAGGAAACCTTCTTAAAAGCTCAACAGAAATGGGGCTAAGCTGTTACCAGATGCTGTAAACCTCTCTCACTTTTTTTTTTTTTTTTTGGTAGATGTCTGTGAATGGCTTCACCCCCATAAATCAGACCTTCCTGCAATTATCATTCTGGCTGGATAGCAGTGGGCTGACTGGCCCTTGTTGTTTCACTGCTGGTATCTGCACTACATCAGGTTGCACTGTCCTTGATGAATTTAACATTGCTTTATCAATTAGCTTTGTCTCCCTTTTTACAAGTCATTGTCTTTAGGATGCGAAGTTGTAAAGCAAATCATTTTATTTCCTTTGCATTCCTTTACATCCTCATTCTTTTAGTGGGATCCCTTTCCTGGGTGACTCCCACTAAGGTAAGTGGGAGTTGGAAGCCTTCAGTACCTAGTAGGATAGAGACCTGTTGCTGCTTTTGTATTTTGCCTTTAGGAAATTTATCAAGGCTACCTGCAGAAATTTGGATCCATAACCTATTTCTGGCCTGTGCGTGTGAAGGTAACATGCTGATGTCACTTGTCACAACTCATATTTGGGTTAAAACATGCAGGCTGAGGCTTTAGAAATTAGTTTTTAAATCTGTATTCTCATAATGAAGCCACTAAGACTGTCTCGCATCTGTACCAGTCTGAGAGTGGAAGTCCCAGTGAAACCATAAAAGCAGACCCAGTGAAAAGTTTCTCATAGTCTTGAAGTCCTCCAGGACACAATCCCCTGGCCTGTTTACAATTCAATCAAAGTAAACATTTCACAAAGCCTGAATTCCATCTGATCTCCGAACTGGTCATTTGAAAGGAAATGTTCCTGACATTGACACACAAAATTTACTCAGAAAGTTTTACAGACCCGCAGCGAAAACACTAACGTGAAGTTGTGTGACATTTCAGCCGAGCTACTGCCTCAGCAGTAATCAGCATTTCAGAGCTGGGCTCAGGTGCTGTCTCAAGTTAGGTGATTTGTTCCAACCAACACAGCAATGCTTCATTCAGCAGAGATACAGGGACACAATCCACAGGAAACACAAGGAGTTTAAAACAACACACACAGGGGCTGTAAAACTGAAGCAGAATGTCATCAAACACAGGGTGAATTACTATTCAAAGTCCAGGAGGCAACCCAAACCTGCATCCTACAGGCCCCCACACAACTTGTAAGACAAGCAAGCAGTAAAGTAGGTAGAGAGAATAACTCACCATTGGCAGGTACACAGAGGTTTCCAGAGCCACTTTTAACTAAGAATGAATTAGGGACAAACTCTTCCTCAGAGTCAGAGTCCTGGGTTGGCTGGGCCACACCATTGCCTAGCAACCTTCTCTGGCTCTCATTGGCTGCAGGGGGAGGGGGAGGGGAGGGGGACTGCTCAATAGGGGTTGATGAAGCGGATGAACAATGCAAAGGAGGACCTGTGAACCACAAACACAAACACAGACAGAAAAATAAAAATTTATAAGGCACACAAGGAAAATCAACAGAAAACATGCACAGTGGGGGAGGGGGGGACTTTCAAAAACAGGACATACTGCACATATTTATTAACATATCTGTGTACATATGCACTGTGTGTGAATTTACACACTGCATATGCATGTCTATATATTTATGTATATATATAGACACACAAATACATACACTTAAATATGAATATGTTGTACAGTGTGCTTCTTATAAATCCTGCCATTTCCAATCTAATGTAGAACGTGGGTCTCTAACGAAATGTACACTATCAAGAAATTTAAACACCAAATTTAGGCTTTTTTTACTTTTTACTAAATTTATCACTAGATATGCTTTTGTGATTTCTTAACAATTATTCAGAACCATTCTTGGTTTGGATTTAATCATTCCCCTGTACTGTTTATAACCCAAAGAGCCCTTATTCACATGAGAAAACGGGGGCAGGAAAGACTCAAGCTGCAGTGATGTGCTACTGCATGTCAGCACGCCAATGAAACTGACTAGCAACAGGCTAGAATAAAAGTAAATCCAGACAGTATAATTTCATGAAGTCAAGAGAGAGGCAGTATAATAAGTAGTATTTTTATAGGGCCACTCCTGACTCAGGAAAAGCTCCTATTCACATCAAAAGAAGTTAGATTGGGCCCAAAGTGAGTATTTAGGCCCCAGTTCTGCAAACACACTGCAAAGAGTTTGCAGGCTCTGGATCTTAATACTTAATGGATAATACAAATATTTCATACAAATTTTCAAACAAAACTGTCAAATCAAAAATCCCAAGTGACTAAAAGAAAGACTGTTATATTTATTCAAGCCTGATGTCTGAATATGTGCAGTACATCACTAAAAACAGAGGGAATATAAACACAGACATATAATAAGTTAAAATACAGGACAATGCATTTAACAATGAATTTTTTTCCTTGAACGCTTCATATGAAAGTCATAATGATAAATCTGTCACATTTTCCAAATAGTAAAAAATCATCATAAAAATGGCCCTACTGGGTCAGATCAAGAGTCCATCTAACCCACTATCCTGTCTTCTGACAGTGGCCAGTGCCAGCTGCCCGAGAGGGAATGAACAGAACAGGTAATCATCAAGTGATCCATCCCCTGTTGCTCATTCCCAGCTTCTGGCAAACAGAGAAATCGATCATGAGAAATCCATCAAAATTACTCAGTGCTGAAAAATCAGCATGAAAACTCTGTCAAACTTTCTTAAAAAAATGTTTTTAAAAAGCTTTACTTGACCATAACAAAAACACATGCCACATCATGGTTGCACAGTATTTCTTAGTAAACATAATGTTGTTTGCAGTGGTGTTGTAGCTGTATTGAGAGGATATTAGAGAGACAAGGTAGGGGAGGTAATATCTTTTACTGGACCAACTTCTGTTGGTGAAAGAGACCAGCTTTTGAGCTACTCAGAGCTCTGCTTAGGTCTGAGAAAGGTACTCAGAGTGTCACAGCTAAATACAAGGTGAAACAGATTGTTTAGCATAAGTAAAAAGAACAGGAGTACTTGTGGCATCTTCAGTAGTTAACATATTCTAAAGGACCTTTCAATATGAAGTGACCTTTTAACACCCCTGCAGTCACAGGACCACACACGGGGGCGTTAATGGGTTACAGATTGTTGTAATACGCCATAAATCCATGATTTTTAGTGAATAGCAAAGTTATGAATTTAAGATCCCAGGCTCATCTTTTGAAACTGCTGTGCAGGTTTCCTTTGAGGACAAGGACTGGGAAGTCAGATATGGAGTGATCCTTTTGTGGAAGTGTTCGCCGATGGGTGATATGATATTCTTGTCTTTTACCCTTTTTCTGTTTGAGTTCATCCGAGAGTATAATGATTCTCTGGACTCACCCGGGTAACACCAATATGCCTCAAAGTCTCCTCGCTGTGCCTAGGTCAGGCAGCACACGTTGCACATACCATCATACATTTTATCTAGAGCCCAATAAGACTGACCAGTAGGCATAATGATCTGAAAAGAAGTCCTAAATTCAAAATGTCTACATTTTTGTCAGTTTATGTCAGATGGTTAATGTTATATATATATACACATACATATAACTTTATACTATACACACTCACACACAATATACTGTAGTTCATTAGATTTTATTTTCTCTGATACTGACATATTGGTTAGTGAAAAGAAAAACGTGGGGAAACCCCGCCCCCCCCCATTGACAACACTGATTTTAATCGTCTGCCGCCTTACTGCTTACACACTAAACTTTCCACAGACTTCAGTGGGAGTTACACGTGCCTTAAGCGGTACATGATCAGACCTTTAATACGAAAGATTCGACTCAAATCATGCAGCAATTTGCAGGTCACTGGCATGTATTGCTGTGTGTCCTGGAAAACCCCATCTTATGCATATGGATGCAACAGAGGATTCTACAAGCTACACGATGAAGATGTGTACCAGTCATTTACACTCACAGCTGTATGACTTGTTATACAGGGCATATAAACACTTTATATTACACGTATCAACAATTATTATGTATATGAATCAAACATAATCTGACAGCCTCATCAAAAAGAATTATCTACATTTTCATGGATGGATAAAAAGCCAAAAAATAAAATTTGATCAGTAATACAAATAAATAAATAAATAAATAATCTAATAAAATTAAAGCAAGAAGGAAATCCAAGATATAGGGGTAAATCCTGCCCACTTTCTCACCCAAGTAATCCCATTAAAGCCAATGGGATTACGTGCCTGAGTAAAGCAAGCAGGATTTGGCCCATATGCTTTCATTCTGGCTGCCAGAGCAAAATTTCTAATTGATTGGTACAAAATGAATCCGCAGCAACACTGGGTTGCTATGGAACCTGAGCATGTAGGCCAAGTCTGTCTGCAACATGTGCTATTTCTCCCTCAAAAAATGATAAAACAGAAGGACTAGATAACCATTCATTATGCACATTCTTGCAATTTGGAAACTAACAGAAAAATAAAACCATATTCCAACTATGGGCCCCTTGGCACCAATTTATAACAATCCCATATATCCTCTTGTATTGAATAGTCAAATTATGCTCTTTGGATTTGAGGCAGGAATAATGTAATTTGAATAGATATGTATGAATGGTATGTTACTTTCTCTGGGTCAGAGAGAGCTAGCTAACTTATTGTTACCAATGTGCCAATATTTCCGATTAAGACATTTTTGGAACAATCAGGGAAAGATATGCTAAGACCTCTAGCAGACCTAGAGATGTTATTAAGAAACACAAACTTTGGAAATGGATTAACAGAAATGTTCTATTTCCCTACTTAACTAAAAAACCCCGCAAAATGTATACACCCGCTTTATCACTAGGAGAAAAACAGCCCAAAATAGACACAACATAGTTTGAGGAAAAGATAAAACAAATAATAAGCAATACTTCAGTTTACACTATACATTTGGCCATAATCCTGCAAAACATGGTGCAAGAGTCTCCTAAGAGCAGGGTGACCAGATGTCCTCTTTTTAAAGGGACGGTCCCATATTTAAGCCCTCCTGCAGGTGTCCCGACTTTTTCTTTAAAACAGGCAAATTGTCCCATATTTTCTGTCTTCCCCTCATCAGTACTGGCAGGTCCTGCTGCAGCCAAATCCCTGCTCACCAGCCTACCAACGGTGGGTGGGTGGGTAAGTTTCCAGTGGCCGACTATGGGGATGGGTGTGCAAGGCTGGTGGTGGTGCAAAGATGCAGCACGTAGGGCCGGCTGGCCGGTCCCCCTGCTGGTCCATCAGCGCAGACCCCGCTGTGTGCTGGCTCTCGGCCAGCAAGGTGTCCCCGCCCCCCGGTCCCATTTCCGGACAGTGCTGTCTGCGCACTGCGAGCTGCGGTGGCCGGTGAGTGTGGGCAGGTGCCAGGCGGCAGCTGGTTACGTGTCATCTCTGCTGCCACCCATCGGCCCTTTATGTGCTCCCCCTCTCGCTGTCCTCTCCCTGCTTTGCCCTCGGCGGGGCGCATCCTGCTCCCAGCGCTGCGCGGAGAACCAGCCCCTGGTCGGAGCGCTCAGCTCACCAACAGCCTGGCCGGCAGGCTCCTTCCTTCCCCCGCTGCCTCTGGCTGGGCTGGTGCCCTGGGAAAGCTGAAGACCCTCTGGCTGAGGCAATGGCCAGGAGGAGCCAAACCCTGCATGTGCCAAGACCTGCACAGCGCTAGCATGGGGAAGCCTCTCCACCCCTCAGTTAAGCTCCAGAGTGGTGTTGAGGGGAAGCAATTTCCACCCTGATCACACCCCAGCCCTGCGGGCTCCACAGCAGCTCCCCAAGCAGGGGTTTAGAACCATCTTCACCGGCCCCCACTGCCCTGGGTCCTGCCCCCAGAAAGTGCGGGGCTGCTCCGTGACCTAGGCACCCTCCTCTGCTGAGCCACGTCTCTGGCCGGGTTTGCTGAAACCCCTGCAGTCAGTTTCCCTTGGCCCTGGTGCACAGTGCATCCTTAGGGCTTAACCCCTTCCTGCCCGTGCTGTAGCCATGGGACAGGAGGCAGCTGGGTTATTTCAGTGACCAGCAACATCCTGGAGGTGTTAGCTGCCTTTCAACACTGTGTGGGCAGGAAAGGACAAGCTGCTCTCAGCCACCATGGATGGGGGTGGAGGGAGAGATGAGCTCTGCAAAGACCCAGGCCAGGTCATCCCTTCCCGCACTCCTCCTCCCCTGCGACTAGAAGCAGCTCCAGTCCCTTCCCTTCTGCACAGTGCCAAAAGGCTGCTGCTGGCCACATTCTGGTGTGAGCCCTGGCAGAAATCTAGGCGTGGAGCATGTGACCCTGAGTGCCTCCCCCCATGTTGCTTCCGGAAGATGTAGTGCCAAGTACCAGGAGAGGCGGGTCCATCCCAGGGGCCCAGCCAGGCACAGAGGGCAGATTGCGCCGGGCAGGGAGTGTCGGGTCGGATCGGTTAGTCACCTTCCCTGTGTGA